TGTAACCCTTGCAACGCCACTGACATTCACAACGCCACCGTGCCCTTCACGTCGCCACCGTGACCCCCACATCGCCACTTGACCCTCACATCGCCACTGTAGCCCTTGCAATGCCACCGTGACCTTCACATCGCCACCGTGGCTCTCACATCGCCACTGTAACCCTTGCAACGCCACCGTGACCTTCACAACGCCACCGTGACCCCCACATCGCCACTTGACCCTCACATCGCCACTGCAGCCCTTGCAATGCCACCGTGATCTTCACATTGCCACCGTGACCCTCACTCCGCCACTGTAACCCTTGCAACGCCACCGTGACCTTCACAACGCCACCGTGACCTTCACATCGCCACCGTGACCCTCACATCGCCACTGTAACCCTTGCAACGCCACCGTGACCTTCACATCGCCACCGTGACCCTCACATCGCCACCGTGACCCTTACATCGCCGCGATCATCGCCTCGCTCTGCCGCGATCTCTGTGGGGCGCGACATGGATGTCTGTGTGGCTAGCAATGTATTCGTGCTCTGACTTATCCGTGTGAGCGGGAAATGCGGCCACGCATACCTCCTCCAATTCAGAGGTGCAGACGGCCACATGTCCACCATTAGGTCAGGTGTATGCAGTTTGAGTAAGCGACCTTTCAGAAGTCACTGTTCCGCCTCCAGGCTCATGGGGGGGGGGGGGGGAAACATGCCCTCGTGCACAACTCTATTAACAATGTATTGATTATGAATTCGAAAAAGTCTACGTACTGGAAGCACGTCAGCTATATGCAGTTGTATTAACTTGACATTTAAAGGCTGCTTTATGGCCTCAAGGCATTTAGAAATTAAAAACTCGGGCACGCATTACTCGGTCAATGATGAATTGGCACTAAGATCTCAACACGACTTCGTGGTAACCATTCTGACAGAACAATGCAATTTTTGCAACCTGACCTACTTTGTCACTGTACAGGCTCCAGTCAGTTAGGCTGGAAGCCATTGTTGCGTCATTCAGCCACCATCACGATTTGGTGACATGCATCAGACAGTGGGGTAATACGAGCGTATGCTTGCTCGAAACTTGGAATCACCTAGCTCGTGCTCTGACGTATTACAATGACATATTTCAACGGTCTTGTGGTATTGAGATATTCAGATCAGTGTAAGAACTGTAACATGATGCATAAATGTGATAAAATATGTGGAGGTCATTGGGGTTAAATACGCCATCAGACATATCTTTTTTTTTTACCACCGCACCAATGCATAAGATATCATCAGCATACTTATTGTCACACAGCCTAAACTACGTACTTTTTATCTTTTGATCTCAAGATTATGTTGTATATAAATCGCTTTCACCTTTGGCATTGGCACCGTCTTGGCGAAGTAGTCTGTGGCCGCATCTTTCTTGACTTATGTTCCCGTATGGCTGCAGGCTATACGGTGACCTTTGCAAGTCAGGTTATGATGGATGTGTACAGGTGACTTCACGTTGAGTACGTGTCCGTTCTCAGTCTTGCATCCGATGTCGAGAGAGCTACGCGTGACCGCATATGTTACCTCTAATGGCTTGAAGGCTCTGTAGTGACCTTTATAGGTCAGGTCGCCGAAGATGCATGTACCTAACATCATGCTGAACAGGTGGTCATTTTTAAAGATTTGGAGACGATGCATTAATAATGTGATGCTGACCGCGTTTAGGACCCATACGGACATGAATCTAAACGTGGGTACGTTGCTGAGCTATGTGGACGTACGTCACGGGGAATGCAAGACGGCGGCGCGCGCGGCCTTCATGACACGGCGGTCGTGACGCGTGATCCGGTGACCCCGTCACGGTGGGGCGACCCTTCGCCGTCAGCAGCCTTGTGTCGCGGCCGATCTGCCGGGCCTGTCAGGTCAAATGACGGGCAAACAAACGCAC